TGTTCAAGGACTACTATGCTTTAAGGCAGGTGGTAAACCTGTGGCCCTATTACTTACGTGTTTTCTTTTTTGAAGGCTGGGGAATCAAACCCAAGGCCCCGGGCATACTAAACAAACATTATACCACTGAGTTACTGTCAATTCCTGCCATATATTTACAAATAGTAATTTTTATTAATTAATTTATATACAGCTGTGTTTATATGTATGTATGAGTTGTTCTTGGCCTACAATAGATTACATCCTATAAACATACTGTAAGCTGGAAATATTCTAGTCAAAACTACCTTGACTCCCATAGCTCAGCGACACAGCACACTGTAGAGTGGCGGGCATTTCCTCTGGTGACTGAGCTTCCAGCCCAGCACCAGCCCAAATCAAAGTGCAGCCTCTATTGACTGCATGGCTTTCATACCAGCACACATGGAAAAACTAAAGCAAACCAAACCGAACTGGGGGCACTGTGTGTGTAGGAGTAACTTACATACTTCAAGTGATAATTGTTTTCTTCGTACTGTTCAGAAGATTGTCTTCAGAGAGCATGTAATGTTTTGTTTAAACACTGGGGTTCCTAAAGAACATTTTACAAAGTTAAAGGAAAGCAACAACCACCCTTAGGTTCTCGCACCAAGCCAAGTGGCTTCCTTTGACTGTTGGCATGGGTGCTGCCTCTCCCTCTCCCCATTTGCATTCAGCTCTTTAATAACTCCCTTCTCCTCATGAAAGGATTACCCAGAACTCCAAGCTCACTTATTCAATTTACTCCCTACCTCTCCTTACTCGATATTCAATTAGCATTGACTCATCTTAAGTCTTGCTATTTTAAAACCCGCTCTGCTTACTCTGGTTTTAATTGGGAGGCTCCCCTTTGTCCTCCTGAGCCTTCACACCCATCTGAACACAGAAGGGGCTTGTGAATAAGTGTTAGCCACAGAGAAGTGTGCACCCCTTCAGTGTTTATTCTGTGAACTGCTAACTGGACCAGGTAGAGACTTTCACCTTACACCAAGGTGGCCTGCCTTGGAAGGCGTGGCAGGGCGTGCAGTGACATCAACATACCAACACAGTCATACTGGAATATCGTGTACACGTAGTCTGTGTGGCTGCGGTCCGGGCCAGTGTGTGGCTCCTGAGGTGCCTTACAAAAACAGCTTGATTGCCCTGAGTGTGGACACCCAAAAATGTCTGAAGATCAGAGAGTTTCAGCTTGCTCAAATCTGTTGACAACTACGGCTAAACACCCTGACCTAGGGGGTGGTTACTTGGTCTTTGGGACATTAAGATGGCCCATAGAGGTAGAGCCACTTCTCCCCGACCAAAGGTCAGAGAGTTGGAATGTTTTGGCCTAGGGTATGAGCGCTACTTGTTCTAGCAACAGAATGTTTAACTAGGTTGTGGCCTGCAAACTTCAACTGGTCAGTTCATTTCCTTGTATCATGTTAATGTAGTTTTTATCTTACTCCTACCTTTTGGGGTTGGGGTATTTAAGAAAATGAAGCTAAACGTGGGCGACTTCAGCACTCACTGGAACTCCCTCCCGATACTATGTTTCCGTTTTATTGTTTTCACTTGTATCTTTGTTCTCTTTACTTGTTTTTCTAATCTCCATGCCCCTACCTTTGTATCCTTGTCAAAGCTGGTCTCAGGCACCTGGGTGTTGGTTGTGTCATTTCCAAAGTGTGAACACAACATCTAGACTACGTCTACACCTGGAGTAGAATGTGTCCTTCTCAACCCAATCCCATTGTTCCAGTAAGTCACTCAAAGGAGGTCCCAGCCCAGAAATACCACAAATGCCCTGTTAACACCTGTTAGTCCAGCTTCAAAATCATTCCCCTGTCCATTACGTGCTATGAATAATGACTATGTTTAGTAAATGTCTATTATCCTGAAATGGAGAAGCAAGAACTGTAGGTGATGCCATCTAAGTGATCTGTAACTCGGGCAGCTTCCTGTAACTCCCCGACCCTGCAATCCAGGACACAGCAATACTGACTCAAACATCTGGAGAGGGGCTGAAGAGATGGTGCCATCATACAGGACCTGAGTTCAGTTCCCGGCATCTGTATAGGAACTCAGCCATCTGTAATTCTAGTTCCAGGAGATCCAGTGCCCACTTCAGCCCCGTGCAGGCACCGCATGTACATGATGCACATACATATATGCAGGTAAAATCCTCATACACATAAAATGCTGGAGAGGAAGGGGAACTGGGTCACCAGGCGTCACAAGGCAGGTGAACCCCTGAGCAGACACTTTGGGTGGCTGTTTTCCATAAAACTAAGCACATTACTTGACATGTGGCCTAACATTTATGGGCATCTGTGACAGAGAAATAGAAGTTTTGACATTCAGAAGCCTATGCGTGGTGCTCTTAGCAGCTTTGTTTGTAATCACCAAAAAACAGGAGCAAGCTGTGGTTCCCGTGGTGGTTGAATGGTTAAACAGCTCTGCCATGGAGTCCTGCCTGGTATAAAAAGCAGGCAAACTGCTGGTACACACATACTAACTGTTATGGTTTAGGTAAAACGCTGCAGTTCCATGAGTGGCCTGTGGGCCACAAGGGCCAGCGGGTTCCAGGCTGGGAGCCACATGATGGGTGAGAAACCTTGGCAGGGCAACCAGTTCCATGAGGAGCCACAGTGGGTGAGAAACAAATGGATAGGCATGCCATGCAGAGTGAAGTTGGATATTTATTTAGTGGGTTATGGAAGGGAAAAGGAAAGAGGGGAAGAGGAAGAAGGGGTGAAGAGCAGAGAGAGAGAGAGAGAGAGAGCGCCAGAGAGGAAGGGAAGGGGAGATGGGAGAGAGGCAGAAGCTGCCTCTTGGGGAGAGAGTAGGAAAGGAAGAAACTCAGGTTGAAAGGGATGGAAGATCTGCTTGCCTCAGCAGTGGGGATGAGGGGATGGGCGGGGCTTGTCTCTTAAAGGGACAGGACAGACCATTACACTAACCCCAGAGAGCTAAGTCAAACAGCAAAACATGCCACCTCAAAGCTGTGCCAGTCTGTTTGCACCATGCTGGTGAGATGGCACTGCCATGAAAGATGGCAGAACAACTGTCCTAGCCTGTTCCCCTGACACTGTGATGAAATACTAACCAAAGGCAAAGGGAACGAAAGGTTTAACAAATCACACCCCACTACTGAGGGAAGCTAAGGCAGGAACCTGGAGGCAGAAGCTGAAGTAAAGACCACGGAGGGGTGCTGCTCACTGGCTTAGTCTCGATGATTTGTCCAACCTGCTTTCTCATACAAGCCAGGGCCACCTGCCCAGGGGTGATGCCACCCACAGTGAGCGGAACCTTCCCACACTGATCTAGAAAATGCCCCATAGACTTGCCTACAGGCCAAACTGATGGAGCAATTATTCCTTCTCCCCAGGGAGGCCTAGGTTTGTCTCAAGTGGGGGAGGGGGGGAAACAACCAAACCTAATAACCATCGGAAAAGGCAAGGATATGGGCATCCTGAGGGGAAGTCCTGTATGGCAGTCACAAAAGTCACATGAGATAAAATCACATAGAACACACACACACCACGTACACAGACAAGTATACATGTACATACACAGGGAGAAACACACACACAAATAGACATAGTAAACAGGTTTGCAGATCTGATGGAATCCAAACCTAGCTACTATGCTGTACCACTATCAATTTCCTGGCTCTAACACTGTATTTCAATCATGCAGTGTTGGAACTCAGGCAATAGCACGGTGAACAATGGGGGACTGGGAGACAGACTCTCGGAAAAAGGCAGAGGGCCTTTGACCTCAAGTGCATTTTGTCCCCTGGGTTGCTCCTGGGTGTGATTCCACGCCTCCCGTGACAAACGTTTATGATTAATTCATAAGATTTGTTTATTCTTGTTGGATGCCAGATCATAGAACCCCATCTGGTCAGTGTACCCTGAAAGTGAGTATGGCCTTCTGCCTTGCTTTCATGCTTGCCCAGAGAATATCTAAAGTATGTGCCAGTCAATTGTGTTTAAATTGGTCTGTCCTGAGAAAGTTCTGGGAAAGGGCCGCCCTGTTGATATTTAGTATGTGCTTATTGATGCTTCCCGTGTTTTTCTGATCATATTTCTCTGGATTCCACCTTCCTTGGATCATTGCTTTCTTTGCTACACCTCGGTATAAAGGGCACTGAAATTGAAGCCCGGTTGTCTGCAGCGTTAGACTGTAGTCTGCCTATTCTTACAGGTCCTCAGATCCCAGGTCCAGCAGACAAGATCTGCCAGACTAGCCCAAGAGTCAACAGTGCAAGACCTGGGGGCTGGGAGTGGGAGGGAGGTGGCTGGATAGGACACAGAGTGAATGGGCCCGGGTGTTAGATTTTTCTTCTGAGAAACTGTCTTATCAGAGGGAAATGCAAATCTTTCCCCTCTAGTCCACCAGTTTCCCAGAATTTTAATGTGTGTGTTGCCATGGTAATGTTTAAGGAGGTGAGAACCATGCCGAGCGTACAGAGGCTCTGGTTCCCTCCCAGGGGCTGAACTACCATTTCCTCAGAGCAGCGGATCTCACCCGGCTCCTCTCTGCCGGGCTTGGTCAGCCTCAGAGGTCACCTGCAGACTGGGATGGATGTCAAAGGGCTGACACTGTAGGAGCAGAGGGCAAGCGATGAAGAATGGGGTCACAGGAGAGGTGCCCTGCCTGCCTCCCTTCTGCTGGCATGAGCTGAGGTGCTTTTGACCCCATGGCATAAAGGACCCACAGACTTGAACCCCAGGTGACCTCACCAATGACCTGTTCACAGTCACATTCTTCTTGGCTCTTCCTTTTTATTCCTGTCACCCTTTCCCCAGCTTCCCGGATGAAGCCCGTGAGCATCATGTCCAGGACACTCATCTCTGCGTTGGCCTTTGTGAGGCCTGATTAATGGAAGGTTTTAAGCGCCCAGGACCCATTCTTTCATAGCTTGGATTCTTGCTTTCCCTAATCGATGGCAAATTAAAGAAACCATGTGAAACCTTATGGAAATTTAGCCAAATGTGCTTTTCAAGTATTTATTTATGGCTGATAGTGATGACCTCAGTACAGGTTCGGGCATTCTGCAACATCAGCTTGGCTGGTCAACAATGTGGACCTTAAGCCCTGTGTTCAGTACCTGGCTGGAATGCCTTGTTAAAACAGACACACTCTGGGGCTACAGGGACATCTGGGGGTGACAAGCAATTGCTGCTCTTACAGAGGATCTGGGCTCCGCTCCCAACCTCCACGTAAGGCAGCTCAGAATCTCCATCACTCCAGCTCCCAGTGATCCAACACCATCTTCTGGCCTCTGTGGGCACTCCACTCGAGAAGAGCACAGATATCCCTGCAGGCAAACACATAAAGATAAATCTTTAAAAGTTAAAACACATCCTCAGAGAATTTTCACTTTTAAATGCACACTTTCTAGGAGAGTGACGCCCAGTCCCAGGCCACATGTCTCCGGTGAGCACGGACTACAAGTGCAGCCACAATTCCTGGAGAGTACACTGGAGATGAACTGTCTAGTGCCATTGTAACCATGGTAATGCCACACGCAGCTGGCTCACCTCTCTGAGGATGCAGTATAACAGGGCCATTGTGCTGCCTGAAGGAGAGTACAGGATGCACAGCATTCACGATTGCAGGGAATGGGTTGCATGTTCTCGGTCGCATGCTGCTACTCTTTTAGAGGTGACTCCACGCTATTAAAAGGTGTACCATGGCCTTTAATCCCAGCACTCAGGAGGCAGAGGCAGGCAGATTTCTGTGAGTTCGAGGTCAGCCTGGTCTACAAGTGCTAGTTCCAGGGCAAGCTCTAAAATCTACAAAGAAATCCTACAAAGTGTCTGTGGAGCAATGTGCTGTGTGCACAGGCTGCCTCCTGCACACCTGCATCTGCCATGTCTCTTGCCTGGATCTGGAGGCCTTGTCAAGTAAGTGACTGCCCTCAACGCAAGGATGGCAGCATATCGGTGAAATTGCCCGGGGACTTACTTCTCAGAAGGGCCCTTCATTAAATGATGTCACCATGTTTATGCTGTGGCATGAGAGGCAGTGAGGACACAGCCAGGGGTCGTGTGTTGGGTTCCTAAAAGGCAGCATGTGAGTCAGCCAAGCTGAGGCAAATTCTGTCAGAGCGGCAGGGGTAGCTGGGTCCCGAAAGCCAGTCTCATCCGGAGCCACCTAGATGCCCTCATAGAGGACTTTAGTTCCTCGAGAACTTTGATCATATCCACCCTTACTCCTCCTAGACTGATCCACAACCTAGAAAGCTTACAGCCGCTCTCTCAGGCTTGCAGTGATGTCGTAGCTTCCGGACACCCTGCTGCCATGCCTGCACCCTGCTGCTGAAAGACCCGGATAAATTCAGACCCCTCTAGCAGAAAGAGTAGAGCCAAAAAACATATCTAGCAGGGAAAGAAGAACCAAAAATCTAAGTTAGCTGGCTCAGTGACTCTGCTCCAGGATCTAGCTGAAGATAAAGTTATATTATAATCCTGAGAATAATCTTGAGAAACAGGGAGTTACCCCCTTGTGATAATCACTGGTATTTTTGGAATTTTCCAATGACGCCCTCTCTACCCCCTTTGGGTTATTGGGTTGTGGTTTTTTCGCTAAAATACCCCTTCTCCCAGCTACTCGGGGTCGAACTCTATCCCTGTGTGGGAAATGAGTTTCGGTCCCAGTGCACTGTTTCCTGTCCTGTCAATAAACCACAAAGACGGTCTCTCATGAGTTCCTGGGGGTCGTGTTATCCTGAGACTTGAGTGAGAGTCTCCCTACTCTGGGGGTCTTTCACTGCCACACCTGTCACCTGCTGCCACTCCTGCCACCTGCTGCCACACCTGCACCCTGCCATGATAAATCCTTATCTCTCTGGAACTGAAAGTCAAAATAAATTCTTTCATCAATTTCTTTGGGTCATGGCATTTTCACGGCCCTATAAAAATAGCTAATAACATTGCTCCTGTAGGAAGTATAGTTGTGGGAAATCTATGTGAGAATCTAGAGGTGGAGCTTGGGGCATTTTTTGACTCTTTCTGACTCTCAGTGCCTGGTCAGCAGACAACATGGGTAGAAAAGCATCCAGGTTTCACTCAGAGTGACCAATACTGACTATTGGCCTGCACTGGATGACTATGAATTTGGTGGTCCTCTGATTAATCAAAAAGTGGCAGGCTAGGCATCAGGTCCCCTCTGACTTAGTACTGGAAATCTTTGCTTTGCTGCAGCCCTTTGCTCGAGCTCCCTGTCACAAGCCAGCCAGTGTGATTAGACAGCCACAACTGAGAACCTCTGACATTTATCTATACTCCCAAGCAATTAAACCCAGTGTCCAGCCAGAAAACCACAGCACATAGGACGGACAAAACAAACTGGAAAATGAGCAGCAAAGTTGGAAGAGCACATCGTGCGTGCTCAAGACTCCGTCGTCACAGATCCCAAGACTGTGTCATGCTGAAACAAAAACAGAACAATGGAACAGAATGGAGACACTGGGAGTAGAACACACGGATGTGGACACAGCTTTTTACCCAGCCATGTGAAAGTCTTTCAACAAATGGTTTAAGAACTATTGGATCTCTACAGGCCAAAACAAACAATTCAGGTGAAGCCTCAACGTAAAGTGGAGCAGAGGTCACAGAGGAAACATGAGGCTATGAAACACCAAGGGGAAATCCTACAGTCTTGGTTTAAAGAATGGTGGTTCTTTGGATGAGATACACCAAAGGTAAGTACAGGAAGAATTGTTAAATCAGCCATGGGTGTCATTGAAAACTTTCACTCTCTGGAAACCACTCTTAAGAGAACAGAGAGACAGAGAAGAGATTCGCTTGTACCAGTACATACAACTCCAGACTACAGAGAGGTTTCCACAGTCAACAGCCAGAAAGAGGAAGCACTGGGAAAATATGGGCAAATCTGCTGTGGGATAAAATGCTGGTTGGCCATAGCCAGACAGGAGGTATAGGCGGGACAACCAGACTAGGAGAATTCTGGGAAGGGGAAAGGCAGTCACAGCCAGATGCAGAGGTAGTAAGATGAGAATGCCTCACTGAGAAAAAGTACCAAACCACATGGCTAAACATAGATAAGAATTATGGGTTAATTTAAGTTGTAAGAGCTAGTTTATAATAATCCTGAGCTAATAGGCCAAACAGTTTATAATTGATATAAGCCTCTGTGTGTTTCTTTGGGACTGAACAGCTGTGGGGCCAGGCGGGACAGAAACTTCCATCTACACATGTCCCTTCTTCACCAATGACAGAGAAGGTCCCCTGCATCCATGATTAGTGTTAAATGCCAATCAAAACTGTAACTAAATGCCTCTGTGTACCTGTTACAATGGCTGAAACTCAGTCTATCCAGATCAACTACTGAGCAGACACAAAAGAACCAGAATAATTGTGTACTGTTAGTAAAAGATTTAAAATGGTGCAATCACTTTGTAAACTCTAGCAAGATTCTTTAAAAAATCAAACATGTTGAGCATAGCACACGCCTTTAATCCCAACACTCAGAATTAGACGGGGAAGTGAGAGGCTAACTCTGCCTGAACCTTTGACCTCTAAGCTCTGGGAATACGGTTCTTTATAAGATGACATCTCAACACCTTGGTCTTGAGCCTCACACAATTTACCAACCTTTGAGCCGCCCTGCATCAGTTGGCTTGGGCGGGTGAGGGCTGGTCACTTAGGCACTGAATGCTCACATTCATATATGAGCCATCTTGAGAATATCGTATACCTCGAGGCTCTGGGACAGTCCCTGCAGAGCGGAGATGTGTGTGTCCACACTGGAGCTGGAGGAAGGTGCTCTGTTCACGGAACAGAACAGCCAGTGTCTCGTGCCTGCCTTCTGTGGGACTTTCTTGTAGGAGTTCCCTTCTTTACTAATTTTAAATTTTAACCTTTGACCCTAGTCAACAGTCACTGTGAGTATAGCACGCTCTGTGGATTCTGGCAAATCACAAGACGTGAGTGGAGTTCTGACGACCCCTCAGACAGCCCTCTCTGCTTCAAGACAGTCTGTCTCAGCCCAGAGGACATCCGAAAGCTAACTCTGTCTTCCCCTTTGTCCTAAGTCTCTACATTTTCCTTTACTAATGCCTGAGTACCTTCTTAGTGTGCTCCATTCTACAGCAGCATTCCCCTGTCTTGGAGCTCTAGTTTGACCCCATGGAACAATAATATTAAAGAAGAGGTCATGAATTTCAGAATGGGGGGATGGGGCCAAGGACCCAGCAGGGGAGAAGTGATTCAGTCACAGTGTTCATGTACACAGTTCTCAGAAAATAAAAATTAAAAGACACTTGAAAGCAGAGAAGCAGGTGTGATTCAGCTCCAGAAATGTATTGTGGCGTCTGCTGGCACAGCCCTGGTACCCACCATCTTCCCTCCTCCCCCAGTGTAGAACCTGCAGCAGCGGGCACCTAAGCAGCTGAGAATAAGTGTCTTGGTCTCTGGGGCAGCTTGAAGTGGCCTTGTGACTAAGTACTGGTCATTGGCATGAAATAAACATGTGCTGTGGGAATCCTGAAAACAGCTCAGAAGGACTGTGAGCCTGGCCAGGAATGGTAGAGTCTGGCAGTGTCTCTCTCCAAAAGAGGAAGTCAGGTCCTAAGAATGGTAGAACAGGGAGACCGAGGAGGTCCCTGCCCGTTAGGAGCTGTCTTCACATTTCTCATGAGAAGCGAGTGACACCGGCGTTTCTGAACCACTGTTGTTCTGAGTTCCCTGGCACAGCCGGGCCTTTCCTAACCAAAGCAGGCAGTGCCACTGCCTCCTGAGGGACTGAGCAGGGCTCCCCCACCAGCCTGTGCTCTGCCTCTACAGCGAAGCAAGCATGATTCATTTAAGAGCCTTCTATTCTGAACACTGCCCTCTCCGTTTCCTACAAACCCAATTACCAAGAGAACAATTGGATTTTTTCAAGTCTCTCAAAATGTTCCCTTTAGATGTTCTTGGTATTAAATAGCAACAGAATTTAAATGGCATCAACAAAACACACAGATGTGACGTGGTAGTAAGTTACATAAGAGAGAGAGAGAGAACACAGCACAAAGGAGCCCAGTGACTGTGGCCAAGGTGGAAGGCAGCAGAGAACAGGCTGGCAGAGCTGTCTCTGGCTTCCAGCTGCCCTTCTAATGCACAGCCCCCTTCTCTGGGCTAGACTTCTCGTCCCTGTTCTGAGGGAGAGTGAAATGCCCATGGATGGTATATACCTCACTGTTCTGAGCACTATGGCTGACAGGGAGTCCTTGTCACTACCCTGCCAATTGTGGAGCCTTTGGTCTGCACCAGGCACTCTGCCAACACCTTACATTTCTCCTGTCTGGGCAGC